AAGTAGGTTAATAATGGGGATCACTAGGGCTATAGTTATATGGGTTATAGGCGGGGTTATCTATGAGTCCCCCTGACCCTCCAAGTAGGAGAGCTCAGGCCTCTGCCCGCTACTCCGCCACACATTTCCGCCAATGTTGTGGCTTTAGATTTCTTATAGACTTATGCGTCAAATAGATCACCTCAACATGATTTCGAGAACTTAGGCGCTATTGTTGAAGTGGTTTTCGTATTTCAACAAAAGCTCAAGAACCCCCAATCCTACACCCTAAACTATAAGACAGCAGACAGCCTAAGCCCTAGATCCAGCGCCTTAAACTCTCAGCTCGAGATCCCAGACGTCGTACATATCCCTATAACTCGCTCAAGGGGTCTAAGGCTACCTACTTCTTCACAGATCCCCATGACCATTTGAAGGGACCAAGCAATACACCCTGAACCCCCACTGTTTTGAGAAGCCACAGGAGCCGTCGCAGCCTTGAAGGCGGCATGCATGGCAGGCCTTGTGCTATTAAAGCAATAGGCTTCCTGAAGTAAACATACATAGATGTATGTATGTTCTCTATATATTTAGACACATAGATGTGTTTGTACATAAACATAGATAAAGGTATAGATGTAGCTATATGGCACATTACACATATATGCATGTGGGCTGAAAAGGCAGTATGTGGGGTTAGGGCCAAAAGGTTTCGGGTTAGATGGGTCCTGCAGGTGACATGTAGAGGCAAAAGGATGTTTATGGGTTTCCAACACTTGGGGTTCCTTTTGGGGTCGCGGTTTAAAATCTAGGGTTTTGGGTTTATATGATTTGATACTCAAGCCCCAGCATAGAAGCCGGAGTAGTTGTGAATGTTATCCCTTTATAGTGCGAATTTAAACCAATCGAAGAAGAGATCAAGGGGCTGCTGGGTGAAGGTCAACTTGGGTGCGTGTACAGGGCAAAGCGCCTCCAGGACGGGCTGGAGTTTGCAATCAAGAGCAGCAAACCCGGATCGCGGTCAGATGTCTTGAATAATTGGCTGGCTCAGGTCAGCACCTTGAACCACCCGAACATCATCAAGGTCTTCGCGGCCTACAAAGATGTCAGGATTGTGTCTCTGGTCTTCGAGCTGTGCACCAGCAGAGATCTTATGGCGCTTCTCAAACGCGAAGCAGCAGAGCTGCAAGGAGTTCTGCAGGCTGAAGGCTCCTTTGCTGCGGTCTTTCGCGCAACAGATGCTGGCCGGCACGGAGTACCTTCACGAGAACGGCATCGTCCAGGACCTCAAGTGCGACAGCTACGCATTGGCATGGATGAGCTACGAAGCCCCCCTGAAGCTGCTCGATCTTGGGTTGTCCACCGCGATTCTGCCAGGACAACATTTGAAGGAGATGGTGGGCATCATGCAGTACATGGCCCCAGAGCTCGTCACGCACTGGTACGATCAGAAGTGCGACCTTTGGAGCATCGGCAGGATGCTTTACTTTTGTAAAGCTTACCAAACGCCATGGGGCTCGAAGACTGAACACGAGATTTGGTGTTTTCTGGATGATGACTCCTTGATGATTAAGTACGACGAAAGCTGGACGAGGAAACCATGGATGTGGAGATTTGTCTAAGCGCTCTTGAGCTTCAATCCACTTGGCCGACAGAGGGCTTTTGCCATTCTCGCCGACGTCTTCTGAGTGCGTGGGGCGACTGTGCCTGATCTAGAGGTGCACATGGTCTCGGGGCAAAACTTTGGCTCCAGTGCGACGGGTTGATTGCAGTGTGACTGCTTTCTCAGTCTGTCTAAACCCATCTGGGAGTTTCCAATCAGGGGTGGAGATTGTAGAGCGGCATAAAAGGATTATACAGGGATATGTTGAGTTCAGATGAACAGAAGTGCAAGATCAAATTGACAAGCACGGCTCTTGTAAAGTAGAGGCTTTCATGCCTACCAGTACTACTCCCGAGCAATCCTTGTACGACCATGGTAACACATGGCCGCTCGATTAAATTAACGGGCTTGGCGCTGAGGAGCTAGGGCTTGGGCTCAAGGATTCGGGGTTTGAAGTTCAGGAATCATGCTTTGGGCTCGGAGTTTTTCTTGGGCGTTGGGCTTGCGCATCCTCGCACCGCGCATTTATGCATGCGAGATCCTTCAAGTTCAGCCGGCGTTACATTATGCCCGAGTACACCTCTACCGGATTTGCTTGGGGTCTGAGAGTTAGGGGTAGGGTTCAGGGCTTAGCAAGATTTACAAGGTGTCAAAACAGCGTCATATTGTGCAGAATGCCTTTCCGGTTCACGCTTACTTCGGGGAAAATTATCTTAAACCCCGAAAACTGTGCCTGCGGTCTTCTGGGTTCCCGGCTCCTTGGCTTTGCGGCTTTCTAGCTTCCTGGCTTCGGTTTCCTGCGGGTGAACTTGGGAGTTTCCTAACATTTAACGGTGCCTTTAAAGGGGCTATAGGGATTGTGTAGAGGCTGTAGAGGTATATAGGGTCTTGGGTTACCAAAAAATAGGGGTACCACTATGGGCGTCCAAATAATAAGGATTATAGTATTTACGGATTATAGTATTTTAGGGTATCTTCTCTGGGCCCCCCTTTGTTTGGAAAGTGTGAAATTGAGCTCTCTTTTGGAGCGTCGTTGACTCGCGAGATCCCCGCCGAAGGAAGTTAGGTTTGTGTCCATTTGGCCGAGGATGATATTGTGGTTGTGAAGGCTTTAGGAACGAAGGCTTAATCTTTGGCACTTCGGATTTCAATGTAGCAAGTTCACAGAGTCAATACCGCGAATACATGACAGCGTCCATGTTTCGGTATTTACAGTATAATCCAGCAATAGTCCTTGTCGCGCAGCCTTAACTCCACAGAATCTTGCCCATCCTGAGACGTCCCAATGCGCTTCTCAAAAGCTACCCAGGAAATTACAAAATCGATAGTTTGCATCCTGATGTCAGATTTTGCAGAACGAATGGCAGTCCTGACTTGCTCTTGCTCTGCCTGTTTTCAATGCCGCAAAGCCTAAACCACTGACTTCACAACAAGGGCCAGACGAAACAAATCGCAAAATTCAAACCGTAGGAAACACTAAAAACTGCATTCTAAACCCCAGACCCTCAATTCCAGCCCGCTCCCTTCATTCCTTTCTCCCTCCTTCCGACTTGGGAACCCCAATATGTGTTTATAATCCTTCGTAAAGAGACTTCCTAAAAAAGGCCCATGATTATTTGAAACCCTAAGCCCTATCTAGCAGCGTACATTCTTCTATAAAGCCCTATGCATCCCCTAGAGCCCGTTGAGCGCCCTCTATCCTTTCTTAATCTCCGTTTCTTCTTCCAGGGGGCGACACAGCAGAGGTCGCTGCCTCCTCGCTGGTGTCGCTGCTGAGCCTCCGGGACAAGCTGGGGTTTTGGTGGGTTTTGAGTTCATGGCTTACAGGTTTAGGACGTAGGATAAGGTAGAAGTTAGAACAATCGTACAGTTGTCAATGTGTGAGGCAACAATGGAGAAGCACATGGAAACCGGGTTTAACGAAGGATTTACGGGGATTCTTACCAACCAAGATCTTGTGTATCATGAAAATCAAGGGTACCACAAATAGAGTTGATGATTTTGGTAATTTGTCATTGGGAGCCTTCAGTCTTCCTTTTGTTGCCTTTGACAAGGGCCTTATGTAGAGGGTCTGTATATACATTAAATTAACTTTTGTAATTTTTAGCGGGATTTCTTCCACGTAGAAGGAGTTTGGGTTCCGGAATGTGTGAGCTTAGGGTAAGCTTGGATCCCCCAAAAGAGGGATCCTGTTTTTGTAGCTTAGGGGCATCTGTACTTGGACTAAGTTGTGTGTGCCCGAAGATGCCAGCATGTTTATGTAATACCATGGCCTTGAGTGCAATCGAGCCAATTCATGCGATTTGCCAAATTTTGACATTGTAAAATTCCAAATACGCCTTTTTTTTGGGCGCTAGGGCCGCTAGGGATGTAGCTAAGCCCAGGACCCCAAACAGTCAATCCTGAACAGGAAAGCCCAACTTCTGAATTCCCCACCTCCTAAAGTAAATTTCGGGTTCAGGGTTTAGGGTTTTGGTTTTTGCGGTTTACTCAAACTCGAAATCTTATCCCCAGAGCTCCAGAGGCCAACCAAGAAACCGTAAATCCTAAACTGCGGACCAACTTAAGCCCTCTACCTCAGGCCCTCAGCCGTAAACTTTGAATCTTAAGCTCGAGTTTTAAAGTTCTGAAGGAGGGTCTCGCAAAAGGAGGGGTACCATTTTTGGGATGCCCACAGTAAACAGTAGGGTACTTTGGGGGTCTATATTGGGGTCCCCCTACTTATGGAAACCACCATATACCCCTATGTATTCCCATTTATCCCCTTAGAGCCCTAACCTCACACCCCAAACACTAGACCCTAAGCCTTAATTCCTAAACCCGAAACACTACATCCCAAGCCCCAAACCCTAAAGGCTCAAAGCAGCCCCCTGAGGGATTGCAGTCCATTCGACGGCATGTATTTCTCCCCGACTCGTAGCAAGAGCCCAGCAATGATCAAAACAAAGAGAAAAATAAATAAATAGCAGGACCCCGATCACACGCATATAATCCACGATCTAGCCTCCGACCGTAGCTGCGACCCACCGCCTGCTTGCCATGCGTGGAGCGGCCATTGAGCGTGGCATTGTGAAGCGACTGGAATCGCAGAACTCCAGGATCAACATTTACTTGAGCCCCAAGCGAAGCCCACATGAGGAAAATGACACGCTGTTGCAAGACCGCCGCAAGTGTCTGGACATCTCTTGCATGGGACACGTCGCCATCCACACTGCCTTTGCAATGTTCCAAGAGTATTCCTGTTCCAAGATCCAAGCGCTCCTGCAGCGATCGTGAGGTGCAACGCCGCAATTCTGCAATCCAAGCTGCTTGCCAGCCACCGGAGCATTCAGCAGCTTGCGGAGAGCAATGAGCCTCCTCTGCCGTTGAGGGAAAAAAGGTAGGCCATGGCCGGGATGCCGCGGAAGCTACCTTGCAGGCCACGCTGACTTGGCTCCAGCATTTCTGGGCCAAAGTGCAGCTGCAGGCCAGCACAACCCGCGACTTCTCGAAGGATCTTGGGGAGATTCAGGGCTTCAACCCGTTGAGGAAAGGCATCCTTGACAAGGCAGCAAGCGCTTTCCAGACGGCCGTGGGCCTGATGCGGACGGTGCTGCTCTATCCTTTGACAGATCAGAACGAGGCGCAGGAGCTCGACAATGCAGCAACGAGGGGGAAGAAAGTTTGATGCAAAGCAGTGGCATGTACGATGCCGCTGATACCATGGTCTCGGAGAATGAGCGAAAGGCTAACAGACTGCTGCAGCAGACCGCGGCGAACCTGCAGGAGAAAAAAGGGCGTTGCAAGGCACTCATGTCATCAGCTGCATTTATGCAGCTGAAGCTGCGCCACTTCTGCGTGCAAATGCTCGTACAAGCTCCACATGACCTTGGCGGCCTTGAGCTCTTCTTCCGGGCAGCTGAAAAAGCCCCTGCGGGTGGTCGAAGGCAGCTCTCTCAAGAGATTGGAAAAATGAGAGCGGGGGTTGCTCTGTACGCGACCTGGCCCGCGTGGCTGTCCTTTGCCGCGACATCAAGGGCATGCGCTGGGTGCTGGGTTTTTTGGAACAGGAGGCCAGCGGGGGAAGAATCGCTGGGGCGACCGTGGGGCGATGTCCTAATCAATTTCGGCTTCAAAGGCGGCGGGGTGCACTTTAGGGCATGAAGTGGGATCCGCGAGTGTCGAGTGCTTGCTTGCTGCTTGTGTGTGCTCTTGCGTTAGGATTGCAGCTGTGTTGCGAAGTCAGGGAGGATTTGGTCGAGTGTGATTGCTTGATGAGCTGCAGGTGTTGCTGCAGTGAAATTTTTGTTTGTTTCTTTGTCTCTTCTTCCGTGATTTTGGCGAAGCCGGTGCGCCCAGGTGATGAGGTGATTGCGTTCTTGGTGGACACGGATAGCGAGCTGAACTTCCTCATGTCCAAGTACTGCTCGGGTGATGACCTGAGTTCGGCCATTTCTGTTTTTCAGTGCTTACTGTCCAAAGCACATCTGAGTGCTGCTGGGCGCATTAAGCGACGAGTCTTGGTTGACCCGGCTTGGCAGAGACTGTCAGTTGCGCGTCTTGTAGAGAGTGTTGCACGCTCGCCCCAGTCCGCACGCTGGTGTGGTTGCGTGATATGTCTGGAGCTCAACTGCGACGGAAGTGCTCTGCGTCGCGTCGTGGGCGTGCTGATGGCCTGGCCCTTGAGGGGGAGTCCCGCGCCAAGCGAGAGCATTCGGAACTTCTCCATTGGCGCGAAGAACTAGCGCAGCTGATAAAGGAAGCAGGGCTGCCAGTGGTCAAGCAGGCGCTTCTGTCTTCTGCCCCTGAAGCGGTAATTATTGCAGCCGTTGGCTGCCCAAGGGCTTCAACCATCAGGAAGCGGATGCGTGAGTGGCGCAAAATATGCGCCTATTCCATGAGTGTTTGCGGCTCGCCTTGGCCCGACCATGTTGGTGTCTTACTGGACTTCATTCTGGAGCGCGTGGAAGAGCCATGCGGCCACACTGTGCCAGAGTCCATATTAGCCACACCTGCCTTCATGCAAAAAGCAGGCGGCGTAGCCAGTGGCGAGCGGCTTGCAGACAACCAGGCGCTGAAGAACGTTGTGAACCCAGCCACCCATGATCTACGGTTTGTCGCTCCCCCGACTCGGAAGGCACCGTTGGTTCCCATAATGCTGATCGGCTCCTTGGAACTTTTAGTCGCCGATGACAACGCTCCAATTTATGCGCGGGGCCTGGCCTTTTACAAGCTCCTCAAGATTTGCGCTTCCTGTCGCAGCAACGACGTTTCTGGCCTGAACCCATCTTCACTGAGGCTGAATTCCCTGGACCTCTGTGGCGTGCTTGAGCGTACTAAGGCCTGGTAAGCGTGTGCATCATTTGCCCTTCTTTTTGTTCCTAATTGGCTTAAGCTCGGATGGGACATCTGGAATAAGCCCTGCCTGTCTTTTATGCGGGATTACTTCCTTCCCCTCCCCAAGCAGGATTGGTCAGGAGCTCGACAGGTGATGGCTGACTATGCTGACACGGTGGCTCTGAGCAAATCTCTTTTCCGCATGCTGCGCCTTCCAGTTCTGCCAGGGGGACGTTGGAAGGCTTCAGGGGCGCCACTGTTTTGTGTTCAGGCAGCTCTTCGCTTCTGGAAAGAACATTCTGAGAGGAATTGGCTCACCAGCCACCTCGCTGCTATCGGCGTGGCTCAGACGGAGCGGGCGCTGGCATGTGGCTTCCTGTTCCGATGAATATGTTCGTGCTGCCCAACATGTTGCCACAAACTTGCAAGAGCGTTTGGTTTCTTATTTCTGCAATCCCATTGACAAGTGGGGGCTTCGCAACGCGGGCCTCGATGAGCTGAAGCTCTTTCTTCAAGAACAAGGGGAGGATGCCGATCTTGTGTGTCTGCAGTGCGAGCAACTCTGTTTACCGCCAGGCTGGTGTCGACGCGTGCCAGAACCACCAACCGTGTGTGCCTCTCCGGTCAGTCCGCCGGAAGACATGCCCGAGGAGACCGACAACGTCAACGACGACTGTCCCTACTTTGTGATGGTTTTTGGCAAGCAGCGCCTCCGTCGGCTGCGCCGTCGCGGAGGCTGCGGTGTCTCTTCTCTTGATGTTCAAGAGTCCGAGCCTGCTTGGTCTCTTCGCGGACTATCTTATGACCTAGCCTGCAAGCACTGCTGGGCAGCTGGGGAAGTTGCAGTGTCCGAGGCCGAAGAAGCAGATGATTCCGGCGAGCCAGCGTCATGTTCCGACAGCAGCAGCGACAGTTCCACAGAACAGGAGTCCTGCTCCTAGGTCAATTATCGCTCCGAGCAGCGAAACTCAACTACCCCGTTTCAGGTGTACCGTGTTTCACAGTAATTAAGTTGTGTTCCTTCCTGCGATCCTGCGAGCTATGCTAGCAGTGCGGCGTTTGTGCGCATCCGGCGCATGTCTTTGTCTGTGCGCGTGTATGTGTGTGTGTGATGGCCCACACTGAGCGCAAGCGTGTCAAGCTTGGCTCCTGTTAAAGGAGTTCTGCGCCGGTGAGCCGCGTGTTGTGTGTTGCTGACAGCCCCTTTGCTCAACTGAGGTGCGCTCAGTTAACGTGTGTATCACTTCTTTTCCAGTCTTGCAAGCCATGGCAGACGTGCTTTCCAAGGCGGACTCGACCTTCCGTTTCCAACTGGAGGAGGTGGGCGTCGGCATCAACGCCCAGAAGAAGATCATTGAAACTGGGTTCACATCACTGCGTGTGTTTGCTGGCCTGGAGGAATCGCGGGCAGTGGTCCGCAAGGCTCTGAAGTCAACCTTTGGCTTCGACGCGGAGAGCAGTCCGGAGATGCGCAAGGAGGTTGCTCTTCTTTGCGTGTGGGAGGCGGCCCGCACGCAACTTGCCTACCAAGAGAAGAACAAGCAGGAAGCGAAGTTGGGGACACAGAATCGCTTGGTGCAAAATTCAGAGTATGGTGCCATGCGGGCAGCTTTGGAGAATAGTGTCGGCAAGCTGCGAGACACGGAACAGTGCCGGCCTCCTCGTCGAGCTCCAGGTATGCCGCCGCGTGCTCTGGAGCTGTCGCACAGAGCTGCACGAGCAGTTCTCTCGCTACCACCTGGCGGTAGAGCAATTCGAGGCTCTCCAGGCGCAGCTCCAGCAGCAGGGGAGAAAGCGAAAGCGGGAGGCATGTGGGGCGTCGTCGAACAGAGCGCGTTGAGGCAGCAGTGTTTCACCCGATCGGCCAAAAAGAACGTCCAATATCCAGGAGGCAGTTGGGAAACGAGGCGGACGAGATCGAGGGATGATTGGCAAGAAGAGGGAAGTCAGGAAATCGTGGAGGTGGAAGATGACAACCAAAGCGGACAAGGGGCGGCTGGATCCCGCACTGATCCACCCCGCGAACCGCTAACACTGGATCAAGCTAGAGGACTCTGGCGAGATTTTCAGGACTTGGGCGAGGGTGACACGTGTCTTGGTTATCCGGCATGGGTGCTTGAGCGGCTCGAGGCCACCACTGTGGACTACACCTCCATGGAAGTTACCACCTTGCTGAGGGCGCACACCCAGATGTAAGCGCTGGAATCTGCAGAAGTGGCGTAAGCGATCCAGGCCAGATTGGACAGCATACCTAGAGAGTCCGCTGGTGATGACGCACAGGAGAGAGATGGCAACAGCTTTGTCCAAACTGTATGGCGATGTTCAACGCGTGGTGGAGCAATTGAAAGCTTCACCGATCGAATGGCGTCAGATCTGGCAAACATGAAGCCGGCCAGACAAAAAGCGGCAGCGGAACTCCTACGAGGATATCTTGCTAGACGCTATGGCCATGGCATCGGAAGACTTTCAATGGGCGAAAAGGCCCAGACAGTCGAGGCCCTGGTCGGAGCATACGGCTGGAATCGGGATGAAACCCAGACAGTTTTGGGGGAGTTGCCGGAGGATATTAGCTCGGCGTCCTCTTGGTGGTCAGCGCTGGCTCCACTGCTTATGGCATATGATGCGATGGCGCAATGAAGAGAGCAGGTGGAGCGGCCGCTCAAACGTCCGCGGTCTGACCAAAGCGCAGAAGCGCTGCCAGCTGGAAGTGGTTCCGCGGCCTGTACCACCTGGAGAGTCCCTCCTGGCAACCTTCTTCCAGTCAGACGAAGGGCAAGGTGTCTGGTGGATGTGGTGCCTTGGCCAGAAAGGTCAGGGTCAGATGAGGGACCTGTACGGTGATGAGATCCTTGAGACCATAATTGCCTCAGAGTTGATGTTGGTACGTCGAGCAGTGAGGGAGGTACTTCCTAGGTTGCTGCTGTGAGGGGTTGCTTTTCCAGTTCAGCAGCTGCTTGGTCCTTGGGACCTTCGATCGACCGCATGCGGGAGGCTGAAAAGAGCCTTTAAAAAACCTAATCCTTAAACTCTGCTCCAGGAAGTTCCAGGTCTCCTGGCTCACCTTACGCAACTCGAGGCCTTCAGGGGTTTGGGGTTTCGGGGGTCTAGGGTTTGAAGTTTTGAGGTTTGGGCTTGGGCATTGTCGGGTTTGGGGTGACTAGGTTTTGGGGCCTAGGGTTTATGGGATGGAGTGGTTTTAGGGTTTCAGTGTTTGAGGATTGCGGGGCTGAGGTTCCAGGCCTGAGGTCCTAATGGTGTAGGGTTTAGGGACCCTAGGGTAGGCTACCTGATCTTTGGCCCTTGGGTGTTGTCTGTTGACCCGTTCCCTCGGTTCTAGCCCCTTCTCCTCCGCTGGTTCTTAATCCTGTAAATTCCAAGTCCAACACTCTAGAACTGAGACCTTAATATCCATGGGGCCACAGAAATCAGGCCGCAGCTGGAATGGTTGAGGCGACTGCGCCATTTCTAGGCGCCAAAGACTGTGGGATACTTCCCGCAACAGCTTATGCTTAGGTTCCTTGTCTGTCGCCATTCCAGGGAAGTCGTGCGGAAGCGTGCCTGCCCCTACCCCTACCCCGCTAAACCCTGAAGCCCCAGATCCTGACCTGTTGAAGTCTTACTCCCACCCTAAACTTTAAAAACTCCTGCCCGCACGCTATATCCAATCTCGAGACCCTGAACCGGCAAGCTTTCCACCCCTAAACCCAATATCCTGCAATATGAGACCCTGTCAGCCCGATCTCACAACCATTTCACGACAAATCCTAACACCCTCGAACATCTGTATGCGAAGCCCCAAACAATTCAAATCCTTCAGCTAAGATCTCTTAAGCTTCGAAATTCATTGTAGCTCGCAATTAGCTATGAACAGACGTAGAAGCCATTTATGCCCGAGGTGATTATACTCAGGGGGGTCATCGTTTGGCAGTACTCGCAAGTGACTAATCACCATGTACCTCCAAGCCCTGTGCCCTAAACCCTATAACTTGACGAATCCGCAAACTACCCTAAACCCTGAACCCAAACTGACGAAACAAGACCATGGACCCAAACATAGAACCCAAAAATCGTTTCACCCTTCTTATAGGTACCCCCGCCCATCAGGAAAGTCAGAAAGGTTCCTAAACATTGGAAACCCTACCCTAAATCCTAAACCCCTAAACCCCGAAACCAAAAACCCAAACCGCTAAACTCTGCACCACAAAGCCCCAAAACCCCAGACCCTAAACTCCTTGGAAACCCTAAGCCCCTAATCCAGAAGAACCTATGTAAAGCCCTAAACTCTGCACCCCAAAACCCCAGAACCCCAAACCCTAAACCTTAATCCCTAACCCCCACACCCAAAAAGCTCTGCAACGCGAAGCCCCAAAGCCCGAAAGAGGCCTCGCAGCCCTCGGCGCCGAGGCTCCGGGAGGCGCTAAAGGCCGCAGAGCGCGCGGCGCACGAGGCCGAGGACGAAGAGGCCTAAGGGGCGGGCGTTAGGGGAGTTTAGGTTTGGGGGTTAGGGTTTAGGGTTTGGGGTTCTGGGTTTAAGGTGCCCTTTATATAAGGATATAAAGGGATATCTAGGGTTGTCTACGGAGAGTTTCTGGGTCCACCATTGTAGGGATCTCTATATGCGTTTCCTTGTACTTCTAAGTTAAGCACCAGGCTGCAGGGAAATCCGAAACCTGGGATGGGGGTTTAGGGATGGTTTGGGGGTTTGGGGATGCGTTGGGGACGGGGTTTAAGGGCTTAAACATGTCAAGGACTCGAAATTCTTTTGGGTTTGGGCTTAGGGCGAGGGTTTAGCGCTTGTTTTTTTTTGCATACTGGGTCTAGTGCAGGGTTCATTTTCTACAGTCAGCTTTTATCTAATCACGAGGTTCTAGGAGGAACTTAAAACTCACAGCGGTGTATCAACCCTAAAACCCTAAATCCTAAAACCCTAAGCCCTAAAAGCCTACAACCCCAAACCCTTTTCCTCGCCCTCGGGGAGAGGGGAAGAGGTGCGGGGTGAAAGGATTGCGGTCGAGGGCTTGGGGTTTAGGGCTTTAGGAGTTTAGGGTTTAGGGTTCAGGGGGTCATTTGGTTCATGGCTTAGCAATCAGGGACCTTGATCCAGAATCTTGGAGCAGGGTTCTGTTGAATTTGTATAAATGTTTGCGATAGGTTTCAGATCAACGGATGGGGGCCCTTAAATCCGCATTTTGAATTCAAAAAGTTAAGGCCAGCTCATATAGCTCTATTGAGGCGGGGCTCGAGCTTCTGCGTGAGGTGACCCCACCCACTTATAGTCATAGTCCCCCTTAACTTAAGTAGATAGAATATCTACTTGGTTTTGGGTATACTATAATAAGGCCCCCCATACAACCGATATTCTATCTACTTAAGGGGACTATAGCACAAGGGATAAGGTAATTGCATCCTTGGATGTTGATGCGAAAACATTCCTGCATGATCTTAGTATACTATAGCGAGAGAATAAACCCAAAACCCTAATTCCCAAAGTTTAGGGTACTCAAGCTCATGCAGCCTTTAAATAAACCCTCAACCGCGTTTGTCACCGTGTTATACCGCTATTGGTGAAGGCGGGGGTTCTAACAGGTGAAGCTGGAGCTGGGGAGTGGTAGTTGCCTTGAGGGTTTAGGGTTTAGGGCTTAGAATTAGGTTTAGGGTTTAGGGCTAAGGAATAGGGCTCAGTATCGGCAAGCTCCTCTTAGTTGCGTCAGGATTTGCTCATCTCGAGCTTCGCCCGGTGCAACGGGGAACACGAGAGAACCTGAAACAGCGAAGGGACTCCGAGGTTACTTGCGAAGGGTAGGCCCGAACCTCCAAGCCCAAACTCTAAATCCCGAAGCCCTGAACCGAAAATTAGGGTTCCCACTTATATACCCCAATTCCTAAACCCCAAACCCTAAACTCTAAACCCTGAACATCCCTAAACCCTAATTCTTAGTAC